CTTCACAGTGGGGAGGCTTCTGCTGGAAGTCTCCGGTGGCTGCCCAGAGGAGCCCATGACTCCGGACTCCTTGGGTTCTCCCGGGCGTTGGTGGGGTCCGCCGGGGGGCGGGGCTGGGAGCCCGGCGGCCCCTGGTGAGACCACTAGTCCACTGGTGCGGTCAGCCGTCCTGCTGGAGAGCCGGGCGGGGGCGGGGCGGGGATGGCGGCGATGTGGGCCGGTCCTTTCTGAAATCGATGCCAGGCCTCAGGCCAGGCTCCCTCAGGCTGGTCCTGTGGGAAGAAGCCCAGGCTCAAGGCTGCTGCGGAGGGCAGAACAGCACCCTGCCTTGAGGGTTGGCGGGACATCTCTGCTGCTCACTCAGGGAAGGCCTGTAGTGCTTGGTTCTTTGTCCTCCAAGCTGTGTCTGTCTGCTTCTTGGCCCCCAGACTACCTGATCAACGTAATGGACGCCCTGGGCCTGCAGCCGTCCCGCACCCTCCGGAACATCGTGACGCTCCTGAAGACCAAACCCGAGGAGTACAGACAGGCCAGCAAAGGCCTGCCCCGTCGCCTGGCCGCCACGGTGGCTGCCATGCGGAGTGTGGACTGCTGAGCACCACAGCCTGGCCGAGGACAGGCTCCGGGTGGGCCTCCTGGGGTCACAGCATCACTCCAGGATGGATTTGCTCTGCTTTGGATTAGGCAGGATTTGTTGTAAAAAGACTTGATACATTTGTATAATCCAAAAAAAAGGTTGTAAATTAGAGGTGTATTATTAGAGAGGAGTTTTCAGGTGATTTTTCAAAATGAACCTACCTTGAAAATGGAATTAATAAATATTGTGTAAAATGCAAGATGGCCATCTTCTTCTGTCCTCAGTGAATATTTGGGGTGAATATATTCCCATGTGCAGCACTGTAAGCCGTTGGGGGTGAAGAGCTAATGGGAGAGAGAAATAGCAGGGAAACCGAGGGAGCACGTCATTTGAGATGTTAGAGCTCGCAGGAGAGGAAGGCGAGGGTGTCAGGGTGGAAGGCGGACATGGAAAAGGTGGGTGGCACCCTCAAGACCCACGGGGTGAGAGACACGCATGACAGAGCTGCTGAGGGGGATGCTGAGGGGGAGCCCTGGGGCCTGTCCGGGGTCAGCGGCGCGCAGGCAGGAAGCACAATCAGAGAGGAAGTGGGGGCTGGATCTCAGAGGGTCCCGTAGGCCATGGGAGGACTTCAGCTTTTACTTTGTCCTTTTTTAAACTTACGGGATGGTATGGATTCCATCAGTTTCTTTTGCCAGTAGCTTCTGTATCTGTTAAGTTTGTAATTGTCTGCCAGTAATAGAAACATGTAATTGGAGTGACTTAAACAAATAGGAATTGACTTTTCTCAATAACAAGAAGTCACACGGTGGTGGCTGCGAGCACTGGGTTAGTGGCTGGATGGAGTCAGGACTGGAAGCACAACCATGATCTCGACCTTTGTCCGCGTGCTGTGCACCTCATCTTCGCAGGACGTTGCCTGCGTCCGCGCTTAGTGGGGAAGAAAGCGGAGCGGGCACGGTCAAGCCACAGTCCTGTGCCCTCCACTGTGGAGGCAAAGGCCTTGCCTGAGCCCCTTGCCTGTTCTCCTCTGGGCCTCACTGGCCATTTTCTGGTCACCGGGCATTCCCGCAACTACAAGGCAGGTGGGAATGTGGGGAATGGTACTGGCTGCAGCCAGGGTTTTTCAGCCTTGGCATTACTGTCGTTTCGGCCGGGACAGTACTTACTATGAGTCCGTCCTGTCAGATGTTCAGCAGCAGCCCCAACCTCTGCCCCCTGGATGCTGGCAGCACTCCTCTAGTTGGGAAAACCAAAAATGTCCCCAGACATCACCCACTGGGCAAAATCATCTCCAGTAGAGAAACCCTGGCTTAGATCTACCAGGATTTATTGCCTGGGCTGGGTTTATTGTGGCCCTGAACAAACTGGGTTCCTTTTGGCAGAGAAGGGGGAAGGCAGTGTGGTCTCTCAGGGTCCTTACTGGAATTGGGCATGTTCTTTATCCCCAGGGCTGGCTAAGCTCTACTTCTCTTTCCCTATGCCTTGCAACCGCCTTGGAGGCAGGGATTACCCCCATTTTACACACACAGGAACTGAGGCTTGGAGAGGTTCGAGGGCCTTGCTTGGGCTCACTCAGCCACCTCACGGCAGGGCTGGGCCTCAGTGCAAGCCAGCGGGGGGTGGTACCTGCACTCCTACTGCTGGGTGGGAGGCATGCGATGTGACACCTCATCCCTCTGGGTCAGCCTGCACGTGGCAGCATGACACCCATAGCCTCTTGGGAAAAGCCCCCCAGGCTGCCAGGACCAGTGTCTGCTGGGTCTGTCACCCAGGGATTTCCACATGTCTGTCCTCATATCCTTGGAACCAGTTTTGCTGGCCTCGAAGAACATCAGCTTGGGACCTGTACCAAGAAAAATATTTTGGGTTCTCATGTGTGGTGGATCATAGACTGTCCCTCTCAGGGATGGAGCCTGGCTCTCACCTTGAAGAAGTGAGAGCCAGAAACCTTTAGGCAAAATGTGCCACTGTGAAGTAGAAGCTTCTCTGAGGTGACCTTTGTGCCAGAGTCCCTGAGAACCACTGGGTTGTGAGGGAACAGGCTTGGGTTTTATTCCCAGCCTAACTACCTCCATCTGTATGACCTTGGTAAAGTCACTTCACCTCTCTGAGGCTCATTTCCTAGTCTGAAAAATGAGGATCATATTGGTACTTACTCATAGGGTTATTTGAAGAGCCATTGAGACACAGCATGGGCAACAGCATGGAGCAAGTGCACAAGCAATGTTAGTTGTATAGTCTGTCTGTGTCTGTAACCAACCTTCCCTTTTGAGAGAGGTGGGAATCACAGAGTACCATTTTCTGGGCAATTTGGGTCCTGCCAGCCTAGTGTTTCAGCCCTGAAATGCTCTGATGGGGCCCCAGGGGAGGACCAGTCAGCACTTCTCTCCTTTAGATCTGCAGGGATGAGAGGCAGGCTTGCCTGTCCGACTCAGGCTGCTTTCCAACTTGGGGCCATTGGCCATCTCCACCCTGGCCCTCAGGGAGGGCACCTATGTGCACTGTCTGCCTGGTCCTGCTCTCCCACGCCTACAGGTGGCTCTGCGGGCAGGAGCACCCTTCCCACTCCTGCTTCATGATGTCTGTGAAGAGAGCCTGTGATAGCTCAGATGAACGTGTGGCCCAGGCTGATCCCATGGGCCTCAGTCTGAGGATTTTGTTGGGACACTGGGAAGGAGGAGCTTTCTTCCAACTCTGGTTGCTGAGCTGAGTGAATGGAGCCTGGGGCTGTGGGGGAAAGAGTACCAAGGAACCTATTTGAGGGGAATGTCGATGCAGAACACATTAAAGAAATACAAAAAGGAAAAAGCCAAAAACTAGAGAAGTCAGCATCTAGATGAATGCCTGGATACAGCCATGCTTGAAATCCTTGGGCTTTTATTACAAGAACCAATGAATTCCCTTTTTTAGCTTAAGTCTGGTCAAATTGTGAGCGAAGAGCTGGCAAAAAGAGCTAGATGATAATCACTGCTCTGCCTGCCGCATAGCATCGGATGAGACAGTAAGTATGAGAAGTCTGGTCTGCTGCATGGGACTGGTACTCTTACTACCACTGCTAGCAAGAGATGAGGCTGGAGTCTCACCTTTGTCAGTTATTAGAATACTGATCTTGGGTACTTACTCCACCTTTCTGAGTCTCAAACCTGCGAAATGGTATGATAATATTTCTTAGTGGTTATGCGAATTAAATGAAGTAAGGCTTGCAAAGTAGTTGGCTTGGTGCCTGGCCTGTGCTAAATGTCTGATACAATGTGGCCATTGTTTAATAGCAACAACAAGTAATAATAGTGTGGTGACAACGACTGTTGTTAATAATTAAAGTAGTTTTCATAGCAGTAAGTGTGGTAACCACCAAGAACCATGACTCCAGCCTGCAGACTCACGGGCCCTGAGCTGGGAAACCTGCTTCCCCCAGTCGCTCCCACTCAACCTCTAGCAACGCTACCTTTGGCTGGAGTGGCACCAAGTCTGTGGCACCTCCTTCCTTCACAGGGACCTCTGTGGGCATTTCATGGGAGTCCAGTCTTCCAAGCCAAGAACCCAGGTGCTCTAGGGCAGCAGGGCTGGGCCCTCAGACACCCAGGCACTAAAGCCAGAGCGCCTTCACCACCGGGGTCCAGCAGGTGACAGATAGCAGCGCCTTCTTTGAGTAACAGCTCTGATCTGTCTTTGGGACACCCTTAGGGTTGCCATATTTAGCACTTAAAAATACAGGACACTCAGTTAAATTTCAATTTCAGAAAAACAACAAATGATTTATTGGTATACTATGTCCCAAATATTACATGGATAGACTTGTACTAAAAGCTTAACTCATTATCTGAAATTAATATTTGACTTGGGGTTTGTGTTTATCTGGCAATCTTGAGAGCCATGTCTCTACCACTCCCTGGACCATGTAGTGCTGTGGGGGCCATCTGGGCAGCGTCTGACCAATCTGAGCAGCCTATCCAGCTGGTCACACTGACTGGTTCAGAGAGGTATATGACCCAATAAGTGATCAGTGAGAATGAGCTTGGGAACTTGCAGTGATAATGAGGGGAAAGGTGGTTTCTCCTAGCTGTTTGCTGAGCTGGAGAGATGGGTTTGGGGTTGCTGATGGCCTTTTTGGCTGCTATGTAAGGAGGGCCTATTGGGAAAGCTGAGAGAGACTGAGACATCACTTGAGCTGCTGGAGATCCTTTTTCTTACGTCAGTTTCTGCCTCCCTTCCTCCCCCCTCTATCTATTCTTACATACAAATGAGTAAATTAAATGGCATTGAAAAAAATCATAAGGCCACTGCTTCAGGGACACCGGGAAAGAGACTTTACAACACCTGCCTGGTGGGGAGAGGGCGCTTTCCTGGGCCAGGCCTTTACTCTCAAGCCCATACGGATTCCCTTCCATTACAGCTGCCCATTGGATGAAGAAGAAAGATCAACAAGTTTTCTACTTTTATTTTTTAGAACAAAACATGTGGCACCTGGCAGGGCCTCCTGCGCCTGATGCCCCTCCTGCTCCCCACAGCTGCTGCCTTCACTGAACCATTCACAGAGGCCAGTCAGGGCCAGAAAGAGCAAGGCTGCTGGTTCCCCGGCAGACAGCATGGCATGCCTGCCTGTTCAGCTCTGGAGCAGACAGTGACTGGCAGCAGGAGGAAGTTGGCCTGCTCGCAGGGGAGGGTATTCTGGGGTGCCTGGAGCAGGCTGGGCACATCCCAGGCCAAGGACCAGGTCAGGTTGGAGGTGGGGGCAGGAACCAAATGAGTACACGATTCCTGACTCCGTACCAGTGCCCTATGGAGCCCTTGGTCTGGAACTGGTCGGGAGCTGCTGGCCTCTGTAGAGCGACACAGACTCTGGCCTTGGACACCCATCAACCCAGCCTTTTGGAGAGACAGGATGAGGCTCTGGACAGCAATCTTGGCTTTTCAGGTCTGAGTTCTGGGGTTGCCTGGTGTGGGCAGGAGCAGAGTCTAGATGGCATCGCCTTCACTGTCAGACTCAACGACATCCAGTGGCTGCAGACGCAGGGAGTCGTAGTTGGGAGGTGGGGTGCCAGGGATGGGTAGGGTCTGTTCACTGGGGTAGGCAGCTGGGTCAGGGCTGTGGCTGGCTACGTCAGGCTGGAAGCCAAAGTTGGTGTGAGCCTCCACCAGCTGAGCCACAGTGGGTGGCGGGCCGTCGTAGTGAGCCTGGGTCCGCTTCTGCCGCAGGCTCCTGCTGAAGGCCACCAGCTTGATGATGGTGATCCACACAAAGTCGATGATGATCTCTCCAAACTCAATGAGGCACAGCACTGAGCCCCCCATCCAGAAGCCAAACTGGCCACCCAGATTTGAGAGCAGCCACACGATCTGTGGGGAGCAGGGGTTAGGGGTCAGGCCACATTCCTGCCTCGAGGTGGGTTATTGGCTAGGAAGGGGGAAAGGGTGACCTTTCTAATTCTCTTGTTGGGCTCAGGACTCTCCCCACCCTCAGGGTGCAGGGTGGAGGGGTGGCAGGGCAGGGCTGAGGTGTTAGGAATCCCCAAACTCACGTTATTGGCCGCTGACTCTTCAATGGTGCGATAGTTGAATTCTTGGAAGTAGATGTTGAGCTTGACAATTCCCTCCCTACAGGAGGCGGCAAGAAGAACTGGTGCCAGCTCTCTGACAGACACACACACACACACACACACACACACGCACACACTCACAGAAAAGTCAGCCGAGGGGCTGTCCCAGCCCTCCTGTGGCTTGAACTTCTTGCATGCCCTATCCCATGAGTGGTGAAGTCCAGACAAGAGCCAAAGTGTTGTCCCTCTCAGCTGCTCTGGGCCTTGGGGCCACAAAGGGCATCTCTGCTCAGCACCCATCCTGTGTACCCCTCTCTGAACAAGTTTCCTAAAGGGCACTCTGGCCGGAGACAGCTCCGAGGTTGGCTCTGAGCTCCCCGTCCCATTCCACAGAGGCTCAGTGGATGCACAGTACACTCTGCATGGAGTCCTAAGCTTACTTCTTTATGAGGGGACCTGGCCAAGTGAGCTCCCTCTTTACACCGGAAGGTCGTCTCACGTGCTATGCTCCCACACGCCCAGGCTTTTGCCTGCACATCTTTGCCTTTTCTACTTGTCTGAACAGCTCCTTGCTCCCTGGAGAGTTAGCTCAAGTGTCCCCTCTGGATACAGACCTCCCTTGTCTCCAAGACACAGGAGGCCTCTTCTCTGGGGCTCTCACAAAGGAAGGGTCTTGTACAGATCTCATCACCATAAGCTCTGTTTGCATGGTCCTCTAGAATGGAGCTTCCTGAAAGTGTGGACCTTGTGTCTTTCTTGTGCTCAGTGCATGTTTGTGTTGAATGGATGGTTAAATGTTGGAATCAGTGGAGGGTGGATGGGTGGATGGATGGATGGGTGGGGGAGTGGGTGGGTGACTAGGTGGATGGATGGGTGACTGGGTGAAGTGGTAGATGAACAGATGACAAATGGAGGAACAGGCTATCCTCCAGGAAGTGGGAGACTCCGAGCCTCCTTGGCTGGCCCCTCTCATTCCCAGTGCTTCTTCCTCCAGGCCTCCTCCTGGATTTGAACAGTGTGAGGTGTCCGAGGAGCTGCCATGTCCAAACCCCTTGCTGCAGAGGCTCTGGTCCTCCCCTTTCCTTCCTTTCCCTGCCATACCCAGACTCCAGGCTCACCTGCTCAAGGTGATATTGGTGCTTTGGTCCCGCTCCTGAGATAAGATATGGAAAATCCAGTCCTGGAACCCAAAAAGGCAACTGAGAAAACACGGCAACTGCAGCCCCCCATCCTGATCACGGGCCCTGCTCGTGGGAGGTGCAGCCCCATATCTCCTGAAGTGCCCTGGAGACTGGCACGGGGAGGAGGGGGTGACCAGGCCCACTGTGGCCGCTGGGATGGCTGGAGGCACTTGGTTCCTGGCTCTTCCCCAGAGGCCCCGCCATCCTGGGCCAGCTCTTTCTCGCCTCCGCCCTCGCACTTGCTCTTCCTCTGCTTGGACTTCCTTCCGGCACTGCCCAGGCTGGCTTAGCCCTGTCCTCCAGTTTTAGTTCAGATGTCACCTTTTGAGGGAAGATTTCCTTGTCCACCTTATCTAGAGTGGTCTCCCCCAGTCACTCTCTCATTGCCCTTTTTACTTCCTAACATTCTCACACTTTGAAAGGATCTGGTTTCTGTATATTGCCGTCTCTCCCACCAGAATGTGAGCTCCAAAAGGGCAAAGGGCAATGTCTCATTCACTGCTGCATGCCCAGTACAGTGCCAGGGGGAGGCAGCTCCCTCTCCAAAGTCCAAAACCGCCCTCAGACCTCTGCCCAGATCTGTCCCCCGCCCAAGGGTGGCCACTCCACCATCTCACCTCGGAGGACTCAGAAGGCCAGTCGGCCATGGAGATGGTCATCTTGTACTGGGTGTCACTGGAAGAGAGAGGGCAGTCACGGCCAGTATGCCCCTCCGTGCTGCCCCCGCACCGCCCCCGCACCACCAGCCCCCGCGCACTCACTTGCAAGACTCCTTGCACATGCTGATGCAGGTCTCCCGCTTGGCCACGCTCATGCGCAGCTCCGTGTAGCAATAGGCTGGGCAGGACACGGGTCCGGGGAGAGGGCAAGAGACTTTGAGCTGGAGGTAGGGGGTTCCTAGGTGCTTTTTTCCCCCTTTCTGAGCCTCTGGCTACCCTCTTCCCTGCTGGCCCTGGGCCACCTAAGACCTGGGGTTAGGTGGGAGTGGGGAGTTTTCTCTATCCAAACTCTCCCACCAGGGAAAGTTATCCCTCTCCACCTCGCCCCCATCTCCAGCCATTGTGACCAAGCCTGGCCCGGGGGATCCTCTCCCCAAACACTCCAGACCCAGCCCAGCAAGATTAGGGCAGCTTTCCCTCCTGTTGTCACCCCATTCCTGGCTGGGGGCCCTGGTGATGGGCCATGTCAAAGGGATGAGTGGTTGGAAGGGATGAAGGCTTCCCCTCTTCTCTACACATTTCGTTGGTTTTCAGAGCATGTGGGACTCTCTCTGCCACTGACGACATGCACTGGTATTGTCTTCAGGTCACCAGGGGCTCCAGGCCTGGATGCTGGCGCAGAGTGAGCTAAGACTGTGCCTCTTCCAGTGGCTTCAGCTTGCAAAGCCCAGGAGGCCACCTCACTCTCCCCTCGCGCCCCAGCACCCCATAGACAGTACCCAGGGAGCCCACACAGACATGGACACACATGCTGAGCTAATCCATGTGGCCTTATGCATTCATGCACACACATGCATACATGTGCATACAAAACAGCATGCACAAATGCAAACCCTGGAAGTGATTCAGTACTGTGCATGAACGCACGTGCAGACACGCACTGCAGCCCTGAGTGCTCCTGTTCATTGAGACACAAACACCCAACGCCCTCTCACATGTGCATGTGAAAATGTGAACGCGCATGCGTGCACTCGCGGGGGGCTGCGCACATGGGCAGTATGTATGGTGTTTACACAGCATACAGAAACAGCCCAGGACACACTCACACGTGCACACATGTTTCAAGGGTGCACGTCACAGGACAGAGGAGTGGAGAGGAGCTGGGAGGGTGTCTGGGGAGGGAGGCGCTGTGGCCTGCGGTGTGGCAGACATGGAACTTTGCCCCCGCCTGTGGTCATAGCCTTCTCGGGTGGTGGCCCAGGCGGCTGCAGCTCTGATGACCCGGGGCTCCCTACTCACCCCAGTCTGGGAACTCCTGGTTGTTGCAGTATTTCTCCCCTGGGGGCAGAGGGTATAGGTAGTGGGCGCAACTGCAGTTTTGTATCATCTGGTCTTGGAAGCAGGAGCGAATGCAGGCCTGAGAGCATGGGGGACACAGACATGACCAGTGAAATCTCACTCCAGCCCCAGGGGAAAGGGGCCTGAGGAAGTTAGTGCCCAGCCCAAGGAAGCTGGGGAGCCAGGCTGGCTGAGGCATGGTGGTGGGATGGCCACGCTGCACCTTCTGACGCCACAGTTGGAGTGGCTGTCCTTCCTGCCTCGGACCCCGCAGAGGGACTCAGACCCACCCCAGCTCTCTGAGGATGGCTCCCGCCACATTTCAGAACTAGGGCCCCACAGATGGCATGGGGAAGTGTGGCTTATTCCAAACACAAATGCTAACACTGTGCTAGCTCTTATGACAAGGCTGCCAGTGGCCTTCTAAGGTCTCTGCATGGAAAGATGCAGAAGGGCAGCCCTGAGGAAGACAGGCAGCCTCTCTCTGTGCTTCTTCCTGAAGGGAAAGGCACGGGGGGTCAAGAGAAGGATGAACTTGGAATGCTCAGACTGGCGGTAGAGGCAGTGAGCAGAATGTCTCCTGGTGGAGGTGGGTGGGCCGGATGTGAGGAATGTCTCCCTACTAGGCCCACCACACTGGGTTTGCAGATCACTCTGCCCAGCTCCCAGGTTCTGCTCAGAGACCAGTTGTGTGTCTGTCCTGGGGCCAGTTCTCAGCCTCTGAGCCCCTTTCACTGTGGGTGGAACAGGGCAACTATCACACCTGCTGGCTCCACCTGGCACCGGCACTTAGCAGGTGCTCAGTGAATGGAAGCAGCCATTACTCATGTCTCTGGGCTTGTCCAGTTTCCTAAGTCCTGACTACAGAGGACTCCTTGCACCAGCCCTTGCCGGCCCTCTCCACCTCTCCCAGTTCTGCCTGCCTGCCCGCCAGGAGGCTTTCACCAGTCCACGAGGGCAGGAGGTGGGGTGGCTGGGAGGAAGGGGTGTGGGGCCAGGCAGGGGGTGGGCAGTGGAGGCAGCTGCACTCTGACATTGGGCAGGTGTCTGTTCCCCCAGACCTCGCTGTCTCACCTAGCAAGTGGGAGTCCTCTCCAGGCCCTGTGACTGAGGCTGCGGTGGGGCCGGGTGGGCAGAGCACAGGCCCAGGGCCTGGGGCTTTGTCAAGGTCTCTGGCCAGTGGCGCCTCTGCACTAAATGAAGCAAGAACTCAGGTTCTTCTGGAATGAGGTCTCCAGGGCTGGGGCCTGATGCCTCCATGCTCCCCACCAACACATGCTGCCTTGTCTGTGTGCCCACCCTCCAGAAGCTTGGAAGAGTGCCCAAGTTCTCCCTCGCAGGCAGAAGCCCCTCAGGCATGGAGGTGGGCACTGGGCTGTCCCCTTGTTAGAAGTGCCTGGGCTGGGTTAGGAAGTGTCGGCGACTGGTCACTTTTGTGGCCTGTGCAAAGATTCAGACTGTCCTGTCCGCTGGGGCTCGGGCTGGGGACGGGCCTCAGGGGCTGACCCTGGAGATCAGGACAAAAGGGGAGCCCCCACCTGCAGCAAGAGGAATTCGGTCCAGAGACTTCTCAGGTAAACTGATGAGGACTGGGGTCTGTAAATTCCAACCTCCTCATTCCTAGTAACAGTATCTACATCTTGGTTTTGTGAGAATTAAGTGAGTTAATGTATGTAAACCACTTGGAACAGTGGAACTAGCTGGCTAGCTTAGTATATTAATAAGCATGTATACTAAACAGCATATATAATAAGTGCTATCATTACTATATATTATCTATTAATGTTATCTCTTAATATTATAAAATATGTAGTTGATATAATATATAAATACTTACCAGCATAGAAATTATTTATATAATATAGGAATGTAATTTATAGAATATATAAACATATTGAGAGGATCAAATGATGATGTAACACACACAAGCCCTTAGCTCAGCATCTCACACACAGGAATTCTTGGGACACCCCAGAAGATCCCTCTAATCCTGGGCATCACCAAGGTCGCACTGCCGAGTGGGGTCGGTGAGACCCCTGACCCTGGACTGGCCCCAGAGCCCCCAGGGTCATGAAGCCCACCAAACCACCCTAGGGTCCCCTTGCCGGGACGGGCCATCCCAGGGACCAGAAGCCTTGGTCCTACCGGTGTGCACAGGGCCCCAGGGTTACAAGGCCTGGGCAGGACTCCCACCTGGATGGAGTAGGTAGTTGTGTAGTTGCTGTAGAGGTTCCGGACGGGGACGTTGGAGCCGTTCACGGTGCACTGGCTGTAGGGCTGCCCCTTGCGCTCCAGCTTGTCCTGGGTGCAGACAGGTTGCTCGTGGGGCCCTGGACCCCCTCGGGAGCTGCCTCTCTCCCTCCCTCCCATCAAGCACGGGGGTGGTAAGGCTCATCCTCCCCTGGACTGTGGCTGCTCTGGCGGGACTCCAGCTTGAAGGGAAGGCAGCAGGGGGCGGTGAGGGTGGGCCAGGGCTTGGGGAGGCCTGGCCCCCTCCTCGCAGGCCACGGGAGGTGGGCCCTGGGTGGGTGCGCGGGCTTCCGCCCGCAGTCCCCCAGACTGCCCTCGGGCGGCGGCCATACCACCAGCACGCCGATGGATGTCTCCGTCCCTGACATGGCGTAGATGCCCTCGTCTTTGATGAAGGGGTATGACCTCTGCTCGTGAAGCATCAGCCGGGCGCCAGCCGTGGACGTGAGGAAGGGCACGTAGTCTTCCTGACCAATGTCCAGGATCAGCTTCAGGCCTGTGGGGAAGGTGGGGCCGAGGGCTGCCTGAGCTCACTACCCAAGGCCCAGGGGAGACTCACCACCCACCTGCCCGAGCTCCCGCCAGACAAGGGGACCCCCAGGGCCTTCCCAGGAAGCTGGCTCCGCTTTGTGGAAAGCCAGGCTTCCTGCCTCTCCGAGGCCCCCATGCTAGTCTACGCCGCCCGTGGCTCCGACTCGGGCTCCCCCAGCCCCTCCCTCCCTGCCACAGTCTCTCTTCCGCCTGGGCCTCACTCTCTCTGTCGGATCCCCCTTAGCTCTGAGGTCCTTCCTGCTGTGGGGCCTCTGCAGATGCTGCCCCCTCACTCTGGAATGCCACCCCTGCCTTCACCCTTCACCTGGAAACTCCTCCTCTTCCTTCAGATCTCAGCCCGAGCGTCCACTCTCTCCAGAAGCCTTACCTGAGTCTCTGGACTAGGTCTCAGGGTCTCTGAGACTTTCCTCTTAGCTCTGGAACTTCAGGACTCACTGGGGTGGTCCTTCCTTTATTGTCTATGTTCCTTCCCCACTTGACTGTTCCCTTCGTGACGGCAGAGAACAGACCCAATATTTTGTGCCCCATAGGGCTGCACTAGGTTAGGGCGATAATGTGAGTGTGTCTGGAGCACTTGCTGCACACTGAGTGCTGGGTTAAGAGCTTGGTTATATGTGAACTCACTGGTGCTCACAAGAGTAAAGGTACTGTCATTATCTCCATTTTACAGACGAGGAAACTGAGGTACAGAAAGGTGAGGGGACTTGCCCAAGGTCACCAGTGAGAAAGTGGGGTTCCTGGGGTTCTCATACAGCAGCTGGGCTTCTTGACCTTAATTACCTGTCCCCAAAGTAGCTGACTGTCACGTCTGTGATGCACAGTGTTTTCAGGGATACAGGGGCTGCGTGAAGGGTGGGCTGCCCACCTTTGTGCCTCTTGACCAACAGCCCTGATAGTGACTGAATGGCAACCGCCTCTTGGTGGCTGGGGAGGTCAGAATGTGAGCGGTGAGGAAGGATTCACTCCCCTGTGTGCCTGGCTCACAGCCCGAGACCTGCAGCCATCCCAAGGCCACCGGCCTTCCCCCGAAGGCAGGCCAGTGCAGCAGCTGCCGCCCGCCAGCCGCTTCTCACTTTCTTCTTCCTACTGGCCCCTTCACCCACTCTCCGCCTCTCCTAAGGGAGACAAAGCAACAAGGCTAAGAGTAAGGGCTCTGGCGCCTGCTCCCGGGGACATCTGGACACACTTCTCAGAATATTGCATATACTACCTTATTTACATTTACAGCTTACCCACATTACATCACAGCAGTTCAATGAGGCATATACGATATGCTCCACTACTATATACCATGTTCCAGTGGAGAAACCAAGGCTTCAAGAAGTTAAGTCTTGAGCTTAGGACCACCCAGGGGGTAAATGGTGGAGGGGGATTTCACTGGAGCATAGGAGCTTGAGCTCTGGGTCACTAAGCAGTGCTGCTTCTGAATCCTTGCTTTGCTCACTGGAAAAATGGGAACATTTTCCCAGGATTTATGAGCATTGGATAAAGGAGTGGCTGAGAAGGCATCTGAGGAGGTTCAGTCTCCACGGCGCCTCCTGTTGAGCCTCCATCTCACCCAGGTTCTGCTCCCCAACAGCTGTTGGTAAGGTGGTCTTGGGGCCCCACACGACAGGGATTTGAAGCTTCATGGCTCTGGCCCCAGAGTAAACCAAGACTTACCAAACTCAGCTCCGGGGTTGGCGGAAGGGAGGGCCTTCTCTGTCATGCCCCAGTTGAAGATGTAGCAGTTACCATAATCAGGATGGAAGATGGGCGTGAAGTTCCTAAAAGAAACTATCAGCTGAAGGACTGGGCCCACTGCAGCCGGTGCCAGTTCTGACTGCTGTCCAGGGCTCATGGCAGAAGGGGGCTGGCAGCTGCTCCCTGCCCTTCACTTACTACCCAGAGAGGTTCAGGAGGGAGAGGTGAGCAACAGGACACTGCGTCCATCCTCCTGCACCCATGCACAAGCCAGAGAGGAGATTCCCTGAGTGCCAAGCAGCTGAGGGAACTAAGAAAAATTAATTTGAGTTTTCCTCTGTCTCATTTATAGGTCCTATAAAATTTGGGGGTTGAATGGTGGCTCCAGAAAGGTGTGTTGACTTCCTAACCCCAGGGACCTGAGAATGTGACTTTATTTGGGAAAAGGGTCTTTGCAGATGCAGTTAAAGATCTTGAGATGAGGTCAGCCTGGATTGTCTTGATGGGCCCTAAATGCCACCACAAGTGTCCTTGTAAGAGAAAGAAGAGAAGACCCAGATAGAGAGGAGAGGCCACATGCAGACAAGGCAGAAACTGGAGTTATGCAGACATAAGCCAGGCCCTGCCTGGGCCCACGAGAAGCTGGCGAGGCAAGGAAATATTCTTCCCTAGAGTATTTAGAGGGGGACCAGTCCTGCCAACACCTTGATTTCCCATTTTTGGCCTTCTCTGTGAAAGAATAAATTTCTGCTATTGTAATCCCCCCTGTTTGTGGCACTTTGTTATGGCAGCCCCGGGAAACAAATACAGATCATAAGTGAGGGAGGGAGCGGCACCAGGCAGGCTTGCTCCAAGAAGCTGGCAGAATCTGGCCACCAGGCACTTGGACAAAGAGGAAGTGGACTGGGATGGAGGGTCAGAGAGGGGAGTGGGTCAGGGGAGGGTGCAAGCAGAGGCTAAGGAGGGAGAGAACTTCAAAATGAGGCACGAGGAGCCTTATGCAGGGCTCTCTCTTAGGCCAGGGCCATGTTTCCTAAGGACGGAGGTCAACAACATCAAGAAAGGTTTCCACAAAGATGCTCGTGAATTAGCAACAGTATAATGTAGTTTCAAAGAACTCAGTTATAAAAGTGTTTTTGATATGAAACATTTTGAATATTAAAAAGTCTATAGAACGAAGCCCATCACCACCTTCAACAATCATTACCACATAGCCAGTCATGTTTCATCTCTACCCATGCCCCCTATTCTCCCTTCCCTATTATTTTGAAGAAAATCTCAGACATCATAATTTTATTTGTAATCATTTCCATATGTATCTCTAAAAGTAAGGACTCACAAAATAATAGTATTACCATGTTAACATAACTAAAAAAATTCCTTAATGTTATTAACTATTTAAGTTCCAATTGTCTCATAAATGTCAGCCTAGTTTTTACAATGTATTTGTTTACATTGGGATCCAAATGATTGGTTGGCTCCCTCAGTCTGGCTTTTTTTTTGTCTTGCAACATAGCTGTTAAAAGAGTTCTGGTGTGATCCAGCTAAAAATGGAAGAGGGAATGGGACCATTAGAAGACCATCACTTTGTACCCCTGCTGAACTATTTGCTTGTTGATAATGCTTTGGGCTTTGGGCAATGTGTGCCAGTGGTCGCACCATTGCTGTGTGTGTCGTGGTGGAAAAGCACAGGCTCAGGTAGGTGGCCTTGCCAAAAAATGTCAGCCTGGAACAAGATCAAGCATCTGTCTCTACTATTTCCAGGAAATACTGGAGACAGACGAACAGGCTCAAAGATACCACAGAGAGTCAGTCTGTAAAATCCAGACCTTGGGGAACTCAACAGGATAAACAACCCAGTTTCTTCAACAAATAAATTCTGAGAGAGGGAAAAGGAGACAACCTACGGGCTAAAAGAAATTTCAGAGACTTGGCTTACAGTCATACTGTGCAGACTTTAACTGGATCCTGATTCAAGCAAGCAAACAAAGAAGATTACATTTACAGGTGTGAACACAACCAGATAGTTGATAGTGTTGAAGAATTATTGTTGATTTGTTTTCAGGTGGGATTGTTAAAAATAAACATTCTCTTTTATAGATGTATTCTGAACTCTTTAAGAAAGAAAGAATACAGCATCTGAGATTAGCGTAGGAGGGGAATTGAGTCACGGGTGTTGGACCTGGGTGGTGGGTCCATGTGAGTTCATCATCTATGTGGGCAGAGATGAAACATGACTGGCCAAGTCTCTATAAGACATAGCTTTTAAAATGTCTTTGGGTGTTTTGACCTTTCTTGTCTTACTTTGTTAAAGACAGGGAGGAATGGAGCTAAGTACATCAAATATTGCAGGAACATCAACTGAAGTTCAGTATTGTCTCCTGAGCCTTATATTCTACAGCAAATTTTCCTGGGCAACTTTTATAGGCCAGGCCCATGCTGAATATTTCTGTATACATTCTCCCATTTAATCCTCAAAATAACCCCATGAGGTTAGCCTTTGCTTGTCCCTATGTTCAGATTAGAAAGCCATTTCCTCTATTTTTTGCCTTGCCCTCTAAGCTGCAGAATGAGGTGGGTCTGGGGAAGGCTGAGAAATCTGATCTGGGAGCTGACCCAGCCTGACAGATTTGAGCTGTTTACTCACCTCTGGGCTTTGGTGTCCTCAAGGTGAAAGGGAAATCAGGAAGAAACCACATTTCTTCACCAACAAATATTGAGACAGGCACTAGGTTGGGGACAACTGAGGTGAACTAAGGAGAGTCCTGCCTGCAAAGCTTACATGGCAGAGGACACAGAGCAGTATGGCAACCCCACTCCCCCTTCAAAATGTGCCTCTGGCCTGTCCACCTCTGTCCATCTCTAAGGCTCCCACCCAGGTCCAAGCCATTGGCACTAGCACCTGGATTCCTGCAGGAGTCTCTGCTTCCTCTCGCTCCCTTATAGTCATTTTCCTGCATAGCAGTCAGGGCAATTGTTTAAATTGAGAATCAGACCATGGTCGCCCCTGCCTAGAATCCTCTGGAGGCTCCTGGCTGCTCACAGATTCAAATGCAAACTCCCTATCTTGGTCTTGCTCCCTGTCATTCCCTACACTTCTGCAACACTCCACAAGATGTTTCCGAATTCAAGGCTTTTATGCCTTTGTGCTGGCTGCTTGGAATATTCTCTGATCAGCTCACCAAAGAAGTGGCTGCTCTTCATCTTTCAGCTTTCATCTGCCCCGAGATCTCCTCTGACCTCCCCAGGCAAAGTCACTTCCCTGCCTGGTTACTGCATCCTTGCCACCTGCTTATTCCCTTGATAGAATGCATCCAAATCTGACATCATCTTCTTTATTTAACTGCTTGTTTATCAGCTGCACCTGGCTTTAGAAGGTAAGCCCAGTGAGGGCAGTTTTTGTCTTGAAGGAGAAAGAATTTAGAGGCTAAGATCTCATGTCCAGGAACCAGCCTGCCTGAATACAAATTCTGACCTGTCACTGTCTAGTCGGTGAGCTTGGGGAAGTGACTTCACCTCTCTGTGCCTCCCTTTCCCTGCCTGTGACCCTGGGATAGTGAGCTCAGCTTCCCAAAAGGCCTAAGGTGAGCACTGGATTCTGAGCCTACTGAAATACTCCACGAATGTTAGCTGCTACTGCTCACCACTCGATCCTCAGAGCCTGGCACACAGTAGACACTCAGTAAATATTTGTTGGAGAAATTACATGTGATAAGGACATCAACAGAGATAAGCAGAGAGGAGTAACACCTAATTCCCCCTGGGAGTGGGGGTTGGGGGATCAGGGAAGGGTTCATGGAGAAGGTGAGGCTAGAGCTGAGATTTTTCAGGCTGAGTGAGAGAAGGCTGAGCCTAGGGGGTGGAGGGGAGAGAGGGCACAGCAGGCAGGGGGCACAGCATAGGGAAAGGCCCAGAGGGAAGAACAGTTTTGAGCAGGCACTGTGGAGTCTGCCTCCGTGCATGCGGGGAGCAGGGCTGTGGCCACAGGGCAGGAAGGGAGCACAGCAGGGTAAACCAGCTGAAGCCGGGCCCTGCTCTGGAGGGAGAGACCCCGCCCCAGGGGCATAGGGACACAGTGTTCCCGAGAAACTGTTGGGGCCATCTGCAGCCCAGAAGCAGGGTGTGGCCGGATACCCTCCTGCCAGGGCTGTGCTCTTGGTCTAGCCCTACGTGCCAACTATTTGCTTGTTGATAATGCTCTTTACTCAGAAGGCTGCTCCCAGCACTGGCTACTTCTGACTCCAGAGCCAGGCGTTCCCCTCCAAAAACATATCCTGGGACAGGGGCAAGACATGCACACAGAGGCCAGCAAGCCTCCAGAGGGACTGGGAAAGTCAGCATTCTAGCAGGAAGCAGTGTAACAGCAGCAGTACTGTGTGGTTGGGGTCAGGAAGGCTTCTCAGGGCAGAAAGAGCTAGCTAATCCCTGAAGCAATAATAATAATAATAATAATGTTTATAAATGCCTAGATCTTGGTTTCTAAATACCGCTCTCCCATTAAAAAAAGCAGGGTTCCTCACAGAAATGGTTGATTCTAGGGCTAGGGCATTGTGTAATGCCAGAAGTTAAGGAAGTACTCAAAAAAACAAATAAGTGGATAGGGGCAGGTGGAGGGACACAGGAGGCAAAGGAAGGAGTTCCCAGTGGCCAAAGCTGGAGAATTTGAGTAAGAAAATAAATAATGTGGTATTGGATTACAATCCAAATATGTATGAGTCCATACAGGTATAAATAAATTATTGAATAAATAAATGGAGAAATAAATAAATTCCTCCCAACAAAAGCATTTCAAATAGTATATATTCCCCTCTTATTCCCCTCTGCAGGGGAGGTGGGGCTTCATTCCCCCAGTCATCCCCAGGTCTGAGCCGAAGCTGAATGTAGTGACTCACTTCCATGGTCCAGAGCACGGGATGAGAAAGTGGTTCCCTTACAATGGAGACGCCTGCACACAGCACCTTACCCACATGAGGAAGGTGTCCCGTGGCTAACGTGTAACCCCAATACGAGGCAGTGAGGAGGACAGCTCACTTCGGTGGACTTCTTCCCCCAAGCCCATCTAATCTGTGTAAACCCAAATTGAGGGCTTTCCGTAAAACACCTGACTGGTACTCTGAACTGTCACGGTGATCCAAAACAAGGAAGTACGCGAAACCGTCCTACCCCAAGGAGACTCAGGACATGACAAACACAGTAGGGACTCCTGGATGGAATCCTGGAACAGGAAAAGGTGAAATCCAAATAAAGTGGGGAGTTTAGTTAACCGTAATGTGCCAGGGTTGGTTTCTTAATTTTGACAAATTACTATGTAATGTAAGATGTTAAGAGTGGGGGAAACTGGATGAGGGGTATAAGGGAACTCTGTGTGCTACCCTTGCAACTTTTCTGTGACTCTAAAATTATTCCACTACAAAGAGTTTATTCTTAAAAATGCTCATATAATATTTCCCATGTGGCAAGAACAGGCACTGTTCTAAGCACTTTGTATATGTTAATATTGTAATCCCCATTATAGTCCTATGAGACCGTTTCACTATCCCATTTTTCAGATGAGAAAGCTAAGGCACAGAAAGGTTAAGTATGTAAAGAACAACACACAGAGCTGGCAACCAAATCCAGGCATTTTGGTGTCAGGATCCAAATGTGGCTCATATTTCCTAATACTAAGGCTGCTTCTTGAGCATATACAACATCCAAGAAGGGAGGATAGATTTAGAAGGAGAGTGAGGCATCAGGGGCTATAGTGCTGGAGCCCAGATGGGGAGGGCAGAGAGAGGCACGTGTCCTCTGGCTCTGTGTCTGAGGCTGACTCAGGAAGGCAGGTGAGCAGTCAGCTGTGGGAATGAGGAGTATGGAGCTGTGTGAACTGAGGTTTCTGGGACAAGTGGCTGGGTGGCACCCTCTAATCAGACCTTCAGAGGGCTGGAGAAGTAGGCTTGGTTGCAGTGGGTGGAGAGGGAAGATTTCTGATCAGGTGGTAGAGTGATGCAGGTGGGCCTAGCTCAGACTGCCAGTTCTGCCACTCACCAGCTGTGTGACCTCAGAGACATTGCTTAACCTCTCTGGACTCCCATTGCATCCTAAAAAATGTAATGAAAAAATAGTACCTTTCTCATGGGCTTTTAGCCAGGGTTTAACTAACTTTATACATGTAAAGGGCTAAGAATAATTCCTGGCACATCAGAAGGGCTGAATAAATGTTAGCATTTTTATTGAATAATGAGTTCCTTGTCAAATGTGGGTTCAATTATAATAACTTATTTTCTGAGCCTAGCACTATTGTCTGTCCTTTGTGCATGTTAACTCATTTAGTCTTCAAAATAGCCTGTTGAGTAAGCACTGTTACTACCCTGTTTTACAGAGGAGGACAACAGAAGCACATCAAAGCGAAACATGTTCAAGGTCACACAGCTCATAAACTAGACCAAGGATTTAAACCCACTGGTATAACTGTAGAGACCAGACTGGACCCCTTCATGAGACACTCCCTGGCCACAGCCACACCACAGAAGTTATATGGCCAACACCAGGTGTTTTGCCTGTTTGTCAGCCATCTATACCTCTTTTCTGCAAACAGCTCCTTAGCCTTTCTTTGGGGGACCACCCATCTGTCACCCTCAGTCCATGTGACCCAAACAGGCCTTGCTTTGGAGGGTATCACATTGGCAGCAAGCACATAATCCAGCTGGTGCAGCTCAGCCTGCTTGCCTGGGCCATGGAGCAACTCCGATGGGGCCAGCTCATTCAGGGGCTGTGCTGTGAGCAGAACGCATGCCTTCCAACACCAGGAGCCACTCTAGGGACCTGACAGACAATCCCAACAGATCGTAGTGCATCCCACTCCCCCGGCCTCCCGTTCACACTTCAGGGCATGTTGTCTCTGAGCAGATGGACCAGACATTTGAAATTACAGAATTATATATCTCTCTTAGCCAAGAGGATAAAGATGGGTGTCCCAGCCTTATAGGAGGGCTGCCAGGACTCATTGGGCAGAGAAGCTCTGAACAAAGGCCCCTGGTCAGGAAAGAGGGGTTGGTATCTAGCCTGCAACCAGCCAGCCAAGAGGTAGCCCCTGAGACGGGACATGTCCCGCCAGCCAGGTACCACCTTGTAATTCTTCCTCCTGTCGGCTGTCCTATTTTGATTCACAGAGTGGGGCCAGGTGTGCAGCTCTGCCCGCCTAGTGGGCCTTGATACCCTGACACTACCTGCAAAATGCTTGCCCATGCACACCAGGGCCTTTTGTGGGGCAGAGAGTCCACACCTCCCAGCAGATTCTCAGTAGAGCTTCTTGAAGTTTCATGAGTTGAGAGAGCTGGGCTGAGGCCACAGTCCCTGGGAGGGTGAAACTGGGAGCCTATTTGTCCAAGGTGGCAAGACTCAGAAAATGCCTTGTTCTCCAGAGGCCTGAAGTAGGACAATGTGAAACCCCCAGATGGGGAGCACAGCGGCATTTCTGGCATGCAGGACTGGGGGAAGCCTGCAGGGGCAAGGTGGTGTGGCCCCCCCACACCTGGAGGCCCGGCTGCGAGGCCCTGGAGGGGCCCTGGGGCCTCAGCAGCTCTGCCTGAGCCCAGCCCTTGCTCCTGCGTGGTCCTGCCACCTGAGCCTGCAGCCCCCCGCTGGCTACCCCCGAGACAGGGCAGGAGCTTGGCTCTCAGGCCCGGGCCTTGGATTGTCAGGAACTGGGGAGGTGAAGGAAGTCGGAGGTCTGAGGGCCCACTGTAAGAGAACCCAGACTTTTGGGGTAATGTTATTCTCATTCTGCCATCTTCTCAACATTGGGGTTTTTAGGAAAAACACTATCACAGTGAACGCCTGCCGGGCCCTGTCCTAAGTGCTGACAGGGGCAGGTCAGTTACCCTTCTGAGTCCTCCAGGAGGCCTGCGTGACGAAGGAGGAGAAAACAGGGCAGCAGATACTAGGGTGCCCATCCAGACTCCCCAGCCTCTGGGTGCTGGAGGCAAACAGCTCACAGCTGCCCTTTCTCCACCCACCTTGTCTGGGAAGTTAGGGGACCCTTCGCCACCCTCCTGAGGTGGCACATAGCCAATGAGTGAGCGCTGGGGGCTGGCCCAGAGTGCAGTGTAGGCTCCAGATGCCCCCGAGGATCAGGCTGGGTCTAGACTTCACCTGACTGAGATGCATAGGTCTTTCCTCCCTCCTTAGCCTGCTTTCCTTACAGACTTTTCCTAAAGTAATTCTGAAGGAGATGGGCCTTCAACACATCCCTGTCTCTGCCTCCAGGAAACTGTTCAGAGACAGAGGCACAGAAAACTGTGGGGCAGGCGGCTGGCAAGCGGCTGGCCTGGGCTGTGCACCCTGGCAGGCCTGTGGGCCTGGGGCAGCTCTCACCTGTAGCTGCAGGGCTCTGCCCCGAACAAGCAGGCCAGGATCAGCTGCTCAGCCGGGTAGCCCATCTTCACCAACTCCTGGGATGGCACCTGGGAGAAGATGTTGGTGGCCTGCAGCAGGTACCACTCTGTCACCGCCTGGGTGACACTGGTGAAGTTCCGGAAGGTGCACACAGTCCCATTGAGGCTGCACTGGAGGAGCCGAGAGGGGTTCTTGTGGGTGCAGGGACAGCTGGCAGGGCCCCAGCCACTGCCCCAAAGGCAAGAGCAGTGAGTGCCCCACCAGCCATCCTTCCTCTGACTGTACCTTGGTGCTGGGTCTGCCAGGGGCTGGGCGAGTGGGGAACAGCTTACACTCACGCTCACAATGTTCAGGGGCTGTTGCCTCACACACAGCTGCAGGATCACAAGGACTCACACATACAGCCACCAGCCACCCCCATATGCAGGAGTGCATACGCCCATGCACACACAAATATACAAACGCATGCACATGTACACACTCAGACACCCACAGCTATATGATGTCATGGTCACAAATATGCACATGCATACCCACATGCCCCCAAGCCCACATACCTAGACTCATCAAGTAGCACCACACTCCTGCTTAGGTGGGCACATGTACAGACACACTCTGGCCCTCCAACTTCCTGACTCCTGAGCCTGCAGCTCAGGACTGGCCAATCTCGAGAGCCATCCTCCAGCCCACAGTGATTGGTTAAGGGATGAGCATGTGACCTGATGAGTCAGTCCCAGGACTTTTGCACAGGCTACAGGAAAGAGGAGCTCTGTTTCTGGGAAGAGTGCTGAGCTAGGGTGGGGTGGGAGTGGTGTCTGGCATTGCAGGACCCTCCTCTGCATGGAAAGAACCTGCCAGAGAGTGAAGTCAATCAAGAGAAAAGCTGAACCAAAATGGAGAGAGAGAGGGAGCCCTGATGACAGTCATACCTGAGCCCAGTGTCTCCCTGGACTTTTCTGTATATGAGCCAATGAATTCCTTGTGTTGCTTAAGTTACTGTGAACTGGGTCACTGACATCCAAGAGTGTCTTGACTAACATACTAGCTATTTCTATTTATTAAAAAAGCTTTGAAAACATACAAAATTAAGCACTGGCTTCTAGCTTGCCTTTCCTCCAGCAAGACTCAGATTATTACTCCCTTCAGCCTCACTGGATAGGGCCCAGTGCTTGATGTGTGTTGGGCCCCACTTACTAGTTTCATGGCTACTTTGCACCCCTGGGTACTGCAGATCCTTCTGCTTGCTGAGCCATTGTGGTTGTCCCCAAAGAGGTCAAGGACAACTGGGTGGTGGGGGTTCTGCTCATTGATAAGGACCAGAGGCGTGTGGCTCCAGATGGTGAAGTTCAGGGCACTGGTGGCATTGGCATGGCTTGACTCAGGAGACAAGATCCTCTCTAGGACTGCGTCCATCAGTTCATCCAGGTCCTTCAGCAGATGCTTGACTTTGGAATACCTGGGTGGGAGGCAGGGCCAGTCATGGGGGTGAGGGGCAGCTGCGAGGCAGAGCAACTGGCAGTCTGGGATCCCCTCCTACTCCAGCATGGTTGCCACTGCTTGTGAGAAGAATGCCCTGCCCAAGCACCCACTTCTCTACCCACCCACCCAGGCCTCCATGCATCCTTCCACCCACCCATTCACTCATTCATTGACCAAATGTTTAGTGAGCATCTGCTATGTGCCAGGTACTGTGCAAGGCACAGAGGATATAATAGCAAACAAGACAGACTGGGTCTCTTTCCTTATGAAATATGAAATTCTAGCTACTGTCAAGCTTGGTGGGTCATTGCATAGGCTCTGGGGTTGAATCTTGACATGATGCTTAACAGCAGTATGACCTTAGGCAAGTTAATGCCTCGGGTTCTCTTCTCTCATCTATAAAATGGGGGGATTAAAATATTTACTTAGGGACTTGTTGGGAGGGTTCTATGAGGGGTTGCTGATAAGCACTTGGAGTAGTGCCTGGACAGAATGTTGTTGCTGTAATTATTAAGGGTTTTCTTGAGTAGCTCCAAGGACCCACCTGCACAAACAGAAGCCCTATTACTAGAAAAATGAGAATTTCTGATTAGTGGAAATGTAACCATGAAGTATGATTTCCCTTCTGGGAATTTCTTTTGTACAAGAATGTTCTCTGTGATTCAGGCACACTGGCCCTTCTTTCAATTCCTTGAATGGGTCAAGTCCAATCTCATCCCAGTGCCTTTGCACACGCTGTGTCCTCCACTTGAGGTATTCTCTTTATTTCACCTGGCTTAATTCTACCCATTCCTTGGGGCATTTTTTCTGACTGACCCCATGCCTCTCCTCAACCCTTAGTTAGGTGCCCTGATGTGTCCCCTTCATGGGCCTTGCATCAAGTGGTTAAACAGTGGCAACTCAGACCAGGCCTGTGTTCAGATCCCACAGTTGCTCACTGCATGCCTCTGGGCAAGTTCCCTCATCTCTCTGAATGTTTCCTGATCTATAAATTGGGGCTACTACAGTAGCATCCACCTCTAGGGTGGTTGTGTGGATAAGAATCACCCAAAGGACACTCAACCCACTGCCTGGCAATTTATAAGCACTCAGTGCATGGTTGCTATATATTTCTTACCATCACAATTATAATTAATTTAATACTTACAGAAAAAAAGATTACTGTCTATTTTTTTCTGGTAGGCTGTGAAGAGGAGAGGGACTTTGTTTTATTCACTCATGTATTCCTGCTGAAGTGCCTGCACTGGTACATAGAGCCTGGTACAAAGCAGGTGCTCAATGAATACACATTGACACAATAATAGGCACAGGGGTGTCAGAAGGCAGGGACTGCCAGATATTTCTTAGGTTCTCTTTAAACCTTTAAGTTTATGAATTTTGTATCTCACTTGCTGCAAAGGGATGAAAGCAAAGAGGAAAAGAAAAAGAGAATGAGAAAGGAAGAAGGGAAGGAGAGGGAGGAAGGAAAGGTAAAAGCGGCAAGAAGGAAAATAATAACAGCAGAAGAGAAGCCACACTGCGGAGGGTGGTGGAGCGCTGCAGGGACCACCCACCGGAAGGGGCTGGCGTTGCAGATAGTGACGGCCGGGAAGTCCATGGTCTTGAAGCCGATAGACAGGGAGACGCTGACCTCCCAGTTCAGGTAGGTCCTGATGAAGACTCCCCACTGCCAGCAGACGAGGGCGGCGAAGAGCAGGGTGAGCACGAACCACATGGCCTTCTTCTTGGGCCCCTCGCAGATGATGCGCTTGGGGCCGTGGGTGTTTGTGTTGTTGCAGTACCACACCAGCAGCTCCTTGTAGGTGTAGCCGGGGCCCTTCTGCAGCCGGTGCAGGCACTTCAGCAGGTACTTCTTCACTTGCATCCTGGCACCTGCACAGACCCAGGAAAGCTGCACCAGATATGACAGCAGCCCTGCAGCCCAGGATGCCCCAGTCATGGCAGAGCATGGGCCTTGGCGACAGGGCTGCACACCCTGGCTCTCCTTCCTTCTCTCCCTTTCTGCCATCATTCATTCATCCATCATCTATCCATCCATCCATCCATCCATCCATCCATGCATCCATCACCCATCCATCCATCCATCCATCCATCCACCCATCATCCATCTATCATCCATCCATCATCCATCATCCATCCATTATCCATTCATCCATGCATGCATCCATCATCCATCCATGCATCCATTCTTCCATCATCCATCTATCATCCATCCAACCATCCATCCATTATCCATCCATCCATCCATTATCCATCCATCCATCTATCCATCCATCCATCCATCATCCATCTATCCATCCATCATCCATCCATTCATCCAGCATCCATCCATCATCCATCCATCCATCCATCAATCCATCCATTCATCCAGCCAGCCAGCATCCATCCATCCATCCATCCATCCATCTATCCATCCATCCATCCATCCAACCACAAGCATTTACTGAGTGCCTACTGGATGCCAGGCACTGAATTAATCCCTATGGACTCAATAATGAGCAAAACAAACAAGGTTTCTGCCCCCTGGGAATTTCCAGTCTAGTGGACAAGTTACTTAAACTCACAACTCCTTAGGTACTCCACCTGTAAAATGGGGATAATTGTATCTAATTTACAGAGTTGCCAAGAAGGTGAAATTAGGTGATGAGTAAAAAGTTTTAAATATAGTGCCTAGCACAGACTGAGTGCTCAGTATGTTAGCAACCATTATCACAAGCTGTAAGAGAGTGAGACAGATGATAATCAAATGACCCATCAAAAATGCATAGCTACAAAATGTGATAAGAAGGACTAGGACTCTGTCCTTTGAGACCTCAGAGGCAGTAAAGGCTGCTGGTTAAGAATAAGGACACTGGAGCTGAAATGTCTGGTTTTGAATCTCAGCTCTTCCACTTTCTAGCTGTGTGACTTTGAGCATACCACTTTCTCTGCTTCAATTTCCTCATCTGTAAAACGGGAATAATAACAGCCTCTCCTGCTTGTGGTGAAGACTGAATGAAAATATGTAGAGTGTGAGTTAATGCTGGCACCTAAGAGTCATCTCCCTGGCTCTGATGTTTCCTTGGGTGAACTGCCCCTCTCTCCATCTCAGTCGGTATAAATTGCCAGACTGACCTCCACCCCAGTCTGGGGATGCTCACATGACCCCAGTTCGGACTATTGGGATTCAATTCTGTTACTTTATCCTAGAATAATTGAGGAAGACTTCCTTTTGGCTATGACTACTAAGCTGGAGGTATTTGGTACCACAAATGGGGAGACTGCCTGAGAATAAAGCCAACACAAAGGAAGATAGAGCAGTAAGATGGAGAGAGAGATTTCTGACATCATTTGAACACCTGGATCCAGCCATTCCCAAAGTCAGTTATTCCTGGGCTCATCAGATATGGGAACTAACACATTTTCTTTCTTACTTATGCTGATCCAAACTGGGTGTCTGTCATTTGCAAACATTAGAATCTTAACAGAAAAATAATTCACCTTGTTGTACCCTGTGTCATACTTCTGCCTGCAGCTTCTCACTCCCCGTGAGATCATATTCCCTCTGAGGGTAGCAGCTCTGTATCTCCCACAAGCCCACACAGTGCCTGAAACTTGACTGAACAGTGAAATGAGTAATGCCAGACCTTCATCTAAACAGAGATCTTAAATTTGCCTAAGGATGTTCACTCCTGACCTAATTTTCTGACAGTCACATCCCTCACCTTCCTGACCAGAGCATTAAAGGCTTTCCCCTCTAACTCCAATGTCTCTGATCTCTGATGGAAATCAAACTCAATGCACCTGCCCAGGACATCATGGCTGTAAGACAGATGTCCCCAGACTAACCCAATTCCCATCTTTCTCCAGAGGGCCCATTCCCTGCTCTGGGATCATAAAGTAATAGTGGTAAGAGCAACATCAAAGTACTGCATGTTTACCATGATTCAGGTACTGCAAGGTGCTTCATATATTATTTCATTCTTATACATTATTATCCACAACTAGAAACTTGGAAAAAACTGGGACTTCCTCTCTCTTGTGTAGTCCAACATCCCAAGACCTAATAGGTGAAGAGCACAGGAGGCTCCAAGGACTAGCTGTGGAACAAACAGACAGAGGGCCTCTCTGATGTCTACCATTTTCCATTCTCATTTAATCATTCTGCTTCTGTCAAGGAGAAATATCAACTTGGTAAGAACAAGTCCTTAACATCTATTTAACTCCTGCTAATCCAGTTTAACAATGAGGCCCTAGACCCAGAGTCTTGCCAGGCAATAGTATTTAGTTAGAATGAATAAACAGGATTCTGTTTTCACTGGGTTTATTTTTAAGAGGGGTCTTCTACCTATGCCAAGGGATTCTGGCTTTTGATTTAGGTTCACAAATATACTTAGGTAAAAAAAAGAGAGAGGCATACACTTAAAGAAAAATATTCAGAAAACAACAGTATTATATGCAGCAAAAACTATGCCAATGATAGGCAAATGACAGAATTTCGTTGAGTACTGGCTTAACTCGTAACTCGTTTGTTCCCTTGGGCCATTAGCCAAGTAAAAATCAATAAATGCTACAAACAATTTTATGTTGTTCCTGTCAGATTTCACCCCCAGGCGATAGATGGTCTGTGTTCAGAAGGGACACACAGCTTGTGTAGAAAAGTTTACAGCTGAACCCAACCTCAAGAAGCGATGTGGAGATGGGATTCATGTATGCCATCCACACCTGGCCTCAAGCTTGTGGTACATGTTCCCTTTAGCAAATGCAAAACAATAATTGTATACATACAGCTGTTTCTATTTTCTTATAAGAGAAACTTTCAGAGAAAAATTTTTCTTGAGATTTGACTCAGTCTCCTGGTGGAAGGATAATTGGGAAGCCAGTACATGTCTCTGCTTACTAGTTTGACAGAAGACATATGAGTGTTATCCATATGGTCAGTTTTCTGAACCTTTGGAATAAGAAGTTGACCCAGGAGTTGTTTTGGGTTTTCAAAAGTTTTTTCTTTGTTAGCACAGTATTTTTTTATAATTCCCTTTAAAAAAATAACAGCTTTATTGAAATGTAATTCACATACCATACAACTCATCCATATGAAGTATAGAATTCAGTGGATTTTATTATAATCAGAGTTGTTCAACCATCACTATGATCAGCTTAAAACATTTTCACCTTCCCCCCAAAAAACTCTTATCTATTAGCATTCACTCCCCATTCCTACCTCTGCCCTCCCCAGCCTCAGGAAACCACTGATCTATTTTCTGTCTCTATAGATTTGCCTATCTGGACATTTCAAATAAATGGAACCATACATTATGTGGTCTTTGGTCTTTTGTGACTGGTCTCTTTCACTTAGCATAATGTTTGCAAGGTTCATCCATTGTGTAGCATGTATCAGTGCTTCATTTCTTTTTATTGCTGAAAAATATTCCACAGTATGGATATACCACATTAATTTATCCATCCATCAGTTGTTTTTACTTTTTGGCAATTTTTACTAATACTGCTATGAATAGTCTAGTACAAATTTTTGTGTTGGATATATGTTCTCATTTCTCTTGGGTATATACCTAGGAGTGGATGTACCCACTGAGTCATATGGTAATCCTATGTTGAACCTTTTGAAGAACTGACAGACTATTTTCCAAATGGCTACACTACTTGACAATTCTACCAGCAGTGTATAAGGCCAATTTCTCCACATCCTCTTCCATTTTCCTTTTAAAAAATTATTATAGCCATCCTGGTGGGTGTAAAATAGTATCTTATTCTAGTTTTGATTTACACTTTCCTGATAGCCAATGATGTTGACCATCTCTTCGGGTACTACTGGCCAATAGATGAATTATATAGCCAATATATCTTCTTTGGAGAAACAGCTATTCAGGCTTTTGCTCATATTTTAATTTGGTTGTCTTTTTATTATTAAGTTGTAAGAGTTGTTTATATATCTATATAAGTCCCTTATCACATACAGAATTTGCAAAAATGTTCTTCTATCCTGTGGGTCTTTCACATTCCTCATGGTGTCCTTTGAAGCACAGTTCTTAATTTTGATGATGCCCAATTTGTCTATGTTTCTTTTGTTCCTGGTTCTGTGGTGTCATATCTAAGAATCTATCGCCTAATTTGAGATCATAAAGATTTATTCTTAGAGTTTTATAATTTTAGCCTGTGTATTTAGGTCTTTGATCAAGTCTGAAATAATTTTTGTAGGTGGTGTGACATAGGGGCTCAACTTCATCCTTTTGCATGTGGATATCCACTTGTCCCAATGCCAGGACTATTCTTTCCCCATTTAGTTGTCTTGGCACCCTTAGTGATTTTTTTAAAAAAATATTACTTAAATTGAAGAAAATCTAAGTAAATGGAAAGATATACCATGTTCATGGGTCAGAAGACTCAGTATTGCTAATATGTCAATCCCAAATTAATCTCTAGAATTAATTCAATCCCAATCAAAACCCAGCAGATGGTTCATAATCAGCAAGCTGATTCTCAACTTTATAAGGAAAAGCAAAAGAACTAAAACAGAAAAAAAAAACCCACTTATGAAAAAGAAGAACAAAGTTGAAAGGCATATATTATCTGATGTCAAGACTTATTATAAAAAGTACAATAATCAGGACAGTGTACTACAGTTGTAATGATAGACATATTAACCAATGGAATAGGAGGGAGTCCATAAATAGACCTTCAGCTGTGCCAAGCTAATTCAACACAGGAAGGATAGTCTTTTCAACAAAAGATGCTGGAAGGAATGGATGTCCCTATAAGAAAAAGTGAATCTCAACTCCTACCCCACACTACACACAAAAATTAACTTGAAATGCATCAGAGACGTAACCACAAGAGCTAAACGGTAAAATATTCAGAAGGATAGGAGGAAATCT